TTGTGTCTGTGTGCACATAACTGTGTCGAGCTGCTATAAGCCAAGTACGTCATGACATTCAATCCCGCCTGGAGCAGCAAGGCTTTCCAGGCCGCCACTTGGAAACCTGTACAATGTTTGCACGTTTTGCGCACTTGCTCATGTCTTTGGCAAGAAAATAAAAGCATTATGACGGGGCCGCTTTTGCAGGCAGCCAGCATTTGTCTGCTTTTGTACGGAGTCAGCTTGCACATCGGGCCGTTGTTTGGCTCAATCAGCAGCCGATTTCCTACTGCCGATGGCATATATTCAGGCTGCTTTGTACTTGCGCGCACTCTTTCACCACTAGGGACCGATATTCTTGCTATGCCAAGTGCTATCCCATTTGACACTAATTGATGCATCACACGCACTTTTGTGCCGTCGCAATGACTGTGATGGCGCCACTTTGTGTCAAAATGGCATCGCAGTTGGCATCGCAAACATGGTGTTTTCTGATAGTGTTTGGTAGAAGTTGTGTGCTTGCAAGCGTAGACTGCACGGTGCTGTTGTGGCTTCCCTTGTCTCATGTGTGAAATCCTGTGTATAGGACACATTGGCGCTATGTCGAGCTCCAGAGCGGCGACCCTCTTGGGTCTCCTGGCAGTATTAAGTACGGCTGGATTTGTACAAGGTAAGCAAATGGCTGCCCTGCAACAGTGTCAGTGCTCACCTCATTGCGTCATTCTTGAGCCATCCGAAAGCAGCTTGGTCATCATTAATGTGAACAGCTTCACTGCGTTGTGCTCACCTTCCCCATCTTGCAAGACCCAGGAGCGCCAAGGATCCAAACTGCTGGTTGCCCTCTGCCAGAACCGAAATTGCCTTCTGCATGTCCTTGTTGCAGTGTTTTACTCTGTTGACGTTGTCGCCCTCCCCACTGTCTTGATTTCCTGAGGCAGTCAGTTGTGATTATGCCAAAATTGCAGCTCACTGCTGGCTTGAATATTAAATTGAAATGAGCAATTATGATGTAGGTGAGAAACCTCTCTCTTTCGCCTGGTATCCCGAGTACCCAAGCTACTACATTGGCGAGCACGACCTGTCCTGCGTGATCACTGTCCAGGTGAGCCCCTGAAATGCGCTGATCACCGGTGTGGCCAATCGATTTAAATCAGCCGCTGGCAGAACCGCCCACAGATAAAATTGCATTTTCACAGTCGCCGATCTGCTTGGGTTCATGGCATCCGTGCACCATTATTGCGCTGGCAAAACACAACTGTGAGATGTCGACTCTTGCAAGGCTCGCATGAAGTCGTCAAGACATGTTGTCCTCAGCCCTGCGTTTTGTGTGCTTCTCTCAGGCTCCCAAGAAGGTGGCTGCAGTCCGCGCCCCAGTCTCCATCACCGCTGTTCTTGATGCATCCGGATCGATGCAGGGGCTGCCAATTGCAGCTCTCAAGAACACCGCCGAGTACATGGTGGAGGCCCTTGGGCCGCTCGACTACCTTGGAGTTGTGACGTACAACGACTGGGTGAGTGTCTCAACCCTGTTGCGTGTTTCTCGCAACACGAAGAAGCTTCTACATCCTTTCCACATCTGCGGAAAAGATGTGCCGCAGAGTGTTGCTCATTGTGGCAGTGCATGTTGTAATGACTTCGTTAGTTCGCCACTCGTTACGGTGAACCTTCATGAGTTTGTGCGAATTTGGAAGCCCAGGACAGACTGGACTACAGTTTTCTCCCCTGCTCAGAGGTAACATGTTGGCTGTGGTGGACATTCTGGCTTTTTGCATTCCTCTTGAAGTTCATTTAGAGATTTCAGCTTCCAGTTTCAACGTGTTGTGCTGTGTTTGTTAATGTTCAGTAGTAAAATTCTATCCACCACGCATTACTCCTGCTATGTTCTGCATCGAAAGTTCTTAAATCCTTTCCAAGGCGTGGCTCTTGCAATAGTCATATCTGATGTCAATGCACATGCCTGATGTAGATCGATTGGTTCTCTGTTGCTCTCAGCATCCAATCTTCCTGGGAATCTGCGCCACCTTATCCAGAAAATGGGAACAATGTGTATGGTTGACTTTATTGCTGGTCGCTGCTGTTACCCTGCTATTCAGAACGGTTACAGTGATTTCAATGCTTCATGTTTGCAGGTGTATGAGACTGTACCTCTCATTGGCGTGGATTTCTCAGTGAAGCCCAGCATCAAGGCCAGCCTGCGCGCAATCATTGCAGGTATCGCATCTTCTTCACCCTCCTCACCTCGTGACACGAACAGATGCCCGTCTGGATGGAACCCCAAAGGAACTGATGCAGCGGCAGTGTTTAGCGAATTCAAATTTGGCCAGCTCGTGTACTGATTGAAGACATATATGGACGACTTCCAACATGCTGAACAGCCGCCGTCATTACCAGGGTTCGATGTGATTGACCCCCGAGCGATACTTGGGGAATGGCACTTATGTTGCCAGATTGTCCTGGCCTCTTCACTCTGAATCTGAAAGGCAAGTTCGGGACATGTTGAGCACGGTCTATAGGCTTAACTTTTAGCTTCCGTCCATTTCAATCAGTTTCTGCGGGATCTGCGGTTTTGCAGGGGGCGGCACAAACTTGTCCACAGGTCTCTTTGCTGGTATTGACCAACAGAAGAGGGCCAACATTCCTTACTCGAAATACGTCCTCCTCTTCACAGATGGCGTCCCGAATGGAGGTGCGATCACACAGCAACTCTGAGCAACTCTGGATATGAAGCGAGGCAATATACGGCAGTGGCAAGCATCCTGGGTGGCCATCAGCGCTTGCGCGCCGAGCAAATGAATGACTGAACTGCGTAAATGTCGTTATTTGTCTCTGATACAAGGCTGTGTGGGTGCCTGCGTTGGTAGGTACATACCCAGACGCCATGGGATGTTTCAGTTGTTCGAAGAGAGTTTCGAAACCCATGAACAGCAATTGGATCTGGCTTCCGGTGTTGCCTCAAATAAAAGGCATGCGGAAGCGCAGGAAGAAGTTGCATATCGAAGAACTTCCGTTTGTTGTGAGCACATATCTAGGATATGGATGCATCCCAGCATATGGGCGCCCATCTCCTAGATATGGAGCGTTCATATGAACGAATATCCAGAATATTCATATTCTGGATACGGTACCCATATCCTATTGGATGTTCAGGATATGGAGCGCCCACATCCTATGCGGTTTCCAACAAATGGGGCTCTGAAATGACGAGCAGCTGTGGATGCAACATAACAGCGAAGTACTGAAACTCAGTGGAATATGTGCCACTGGGGCAAGAATTCTTCTCAACACTGCAAGCATCTTGCCGAGGGGCGTGCATTTGTCTTTAGATAAAACCATACCTGTCAGCGTTTGAAATTGTGATTATGAGTCATCAATCTTGCAGTGTGAGCTATGGTTGATTTTGAGCTAGAACGCATTTCTCCGGCTCCAGGTATCGAAGATATTTCAGAGATCGAGTTCCTCATGTCCAAGGAGCTGGAGGCCGAGAACTCCCCCGTTGTCTACACTCTGGGCTTCGGTTACGAGCAGGACCCCAATTTCCTTTACGTAAGACCCCCTACTTAAAACACCAAGCGATATTTGTCTTTTTCTTAACAATTGTTTCCGAATAAGCGGCACCTGAAGCCATGGCATTGATATTTGTTCTAGTGTTCCAGTGTTCCAGTGCTCCAGGCCAACTCTCAGGCGTGGCATACTCGTGATGCTCTATAATTCATTTTGGGAAATTGATCATGGGGTTGCAAGACCAGGCTGTCCTTATCTTGGTGAACACAAATGGCGGACATGAGACCTCCAATTTGACCAGACGGCTTCACTCTCTGTTCGCCCGACCAATGCCTAGCAACAAACGCCATGAAGGCAGCTGCGTCTGAGCCAGTTCATCGATGGATGACAACGCACTTCCAAAGATGTGCTTTCAATGCAGCTGACCACCTTTGCCTTCCTGTCCCCAGAGGATCGCGCACACTGGGCGTGGGAGCTACGTCTTTGTCAACAGCGCCGCAGACATCGCAACTTCCTTTGGACAGGTCCTTGGAGGCTTGCTGAGTGTGTACGCCCATGACATCATTTGCACCCTGACACCGCTGGGCGGGTCATCCATCAAGCGCGTGCAGGCCGGCGGATACATCACCCCTGGTCGGGAGAGCTGGCAGTAAGTACTGAGCACACTCTCTGCTTTAATGACCAAATATTGCCTGAAAATGTCATGAAACGCGACCACTCGAGTGCTGACAGTGAATGGCGGTCCTGGGGCATTGAAGAAATCTGTAATTCGGCAAATACATTGCCGAGAACGCCTTAGAAACCTCCTATCCAGTCCTTGAGAGATTCCAGAGCTTGTATGCTCTGGAATAGCGCATACATATGCGCATCCTCTACCGCGCGCTTGCTTAGTACTATCTCCTCCAAACATTCCAGGAGCGCTGCAGTGCATCCTTGTTTTGCGCATTAAAATGTTCCGCAGTAATGATTCGACACAAGACGAGCCGCCGATACTGCAGGGGAGATGTTCAGTGTCTACCCAAGGAACATGCCATACAAATATTGGGAGGTAGCGGCCAGCTGCATTATGCGCTTGAGGAAGCAGAACCCACCATTCCCTCAGCGACAAACAAAGACCGTACTTGTCGGCTGGCAAACCAAATCCTAGTCGAGTCTCATGCAGATTCGCGGGATCCTCCTTCGCAATTTTGCCCAATCGGAGATCATTCCCGCTCCGCCGTTGGCGCGAAGCGAGCCGCTTAATGCGGCTGGAAATGCGAGATGCGTGACCACTTCAACACACACCACATTGCTGCTACATCGCCTCACTCGACGTACTGCAGTTCAGCAGTAATTGAGCGTGGATTTGGCATCGGGCGCACATCGTACCAATGGTCGAATGCCATATGGCATCTCTGCAAAGTTCTCGCCTACCGGTTTCCACCTGACTGAGGCTCACCCGACGGAGCGCGCATGTGTGCCGCAGGATCTTCTTTGCCGATCTGTACGCCGCCGAGAGGCGCGACATCCTTGTCGACATGAAGATCCCCGTGCTCATCACGCCCCAGAGCAAGCAGCAGGTCCTGCGGGTGGACGTCACCTACTTCGACCCCTTCACCGGGGCTCCGTACAGCGCCAAGCCCATCATTGTCATTGTCGAGCGCACGCTGGTCAAGCGCCCGGTGTACATCGTCCCCAACCCCATGGTGGACACGACTAGGGTCCGCTACCGTTGCGCAGAGGTGAGCGGCGCGGAACCGAATTTCAACCGAATGAACCGAATGAGTGGATCGAATTGTGAAGCGAACCGAACTGTGTGGACTGGTGGACACTTGTACAAAGACAGCTGGAGGAGTCTGAGTTTAGTTGATGTTCGCAGCTCTGCATTCGATGGAAATTGCATTTGACGGGACTGGTTAACTCGTCTGAATTGCGCGGGTGCGCAGGCGACGTATTGTGTGTGGGATGGGCGGCTTTGTGGCAGATTGTGTGCACAAGCTGTCTGGATCTGGAGCTATAGTGGTCGAGATGTATCTTGAGCAGAGGGCTGCATCTCGGGATAGAGATCGCACTTTCTCGATATATGCATAGATCTCGATATTTGTCTCAACTTGCATCTGTCTCTAGATCTAAACCGAGTTGCAGACAGATCTCGAGATGTATCGCGAGCCAGAAGTGGTCCGCAAAATTGTGCGAGGTGGCAGCCAGGATCAAATCAAATTGTTGAATTGGGCCACGTGGCGCGCTGCAGGACATCGAGAAGGCCGTCATCTACAGCAGCGAAGGGAAGTACAAGGAGGCGAAGGCCCTCCTGGATGGCACTCTCGCTTACATTGCCGGCTCCAGTGTGTGGAACGTCGAGGAGGTGCAGCAATACAGGGAGGACTGCATCGTTGTGCAGAAGGTCGTTGAGAAGCCGCAGGTGAGGCGGAACCGGAATGGTTCTGGAGGCCAGAGTGCTGGGGCCCGTTGATTTAATACAACGGATAAAATGAATGCAAGGTGCCAACACGAAAGGCCATGAAATACGATAAGCAGACAAGACAGTGAATGAATAAGTTAACGAAACGGAATGGGACGAGGAAATAGTGACGTTTGTTGCGCGATCGAAGTCCAGCAGGGCAAGCGAGCAGTGTAGGTGGGGCTGGACACGCTGGATTCGCAGGCTACGTTGATCGATGCGTGTTGGCGACGCCCCCGGGCCGCGAAGTGACGGGCCCCAAGGCTCATGTGGGCCCCGGGGCCCGAAAATCTCCCATTCCCCTCCCCCAAACTGGCCAACCCTGCCTCCGCTGACGCCCGCCCGCAAACTGCTGCGCTGCCGCAGGTGATTCCCCCACCCGTCGCGTCGGGCTACATCGCCGCCGCGCACATCATGGGCAACCAGCGCGCCGCGGGCGTGACCAACGACCTGCACAGCCCGGCCATCTGGGTCACGGAACCCAAGCAGGAGGAAGCCAAGAAGGCCAAGAAGTTCGCGGAGCCCGTGATCCCCGCTGAGGCGCGCTCCACCGCCGTCGGCTTCGCCAACGCCAACGTCAATGATGACGGCACAGTCAGCGCAGAGGCCACCAACGAAGCATCCGTCGAGGGGGCGGATTCCTCCGCGACTTCCACGGCTGAGTCCACGGCCAATGGGGAGGGCGCGGATGCCGAGTCCGTGGCAATTGCCGTGGCGGACTCCGGCGACACTGAGGACGGCATGGCGGACGCCACTGCCACGGCCACCTCGACCGCCACTGGCGAAGACGCCGTTGCGACGTCCACCGGGGCTGCCTTCGCGGTCGCGGGGCAGGACGGCGGCCAGGCAACCGCCACCACGAACTCCCAGGCATTCGCCTCCGCGCCCGAGGAGGGCGATGCGACCGCAATCGCCACCGGCGCGTCGGTCGCGATAGCGCCGGGCGACCAGGCCACCGCAACGACGAACAGCTACGCGGAGGCGACGGCTCCCGAGGGGGCCGCGACGGCCATCGCCGCCAGCGGGGCGCTCGCGGTCGGGGAGGACGCCACGGCGTCCGCCCCCGCGGAGGCATACGCCCAGGGGGAGACGGCCACGGCGGTGTCCGTCGGCGGTGCGGCCGCGGTCGCGGGCGACGAGGGCGATGCAAGGGCGACGGGATCGTCGGATTCGACCGCCCAGGGGGAGGAATCCGCCACGGCGGCGTCCGTCGGCGGGGCGGCCGCGTTCTCCGGCGACGGCGGCAGTTCCGAGGCGGTCGGCAGCGCGGACGCCACCGCCGTGGCGACCGAGGGCCCGGCGGTGGCCACCGGCAACGCCGGCGCGCTCGCCGTGTCGGGAGAAGACGGCACATCGGATGCGACGGCAAACGGCTTTGGCTCCGCGTCGGGGACCGATGCCACGGCTGTGGGGACCGGCGACGCGGCTGCGGCCGCCGGGGAGGACGTGGCCACGGCCAGCGGGGCGGGCAGGGTGGACGTGACGGGTGACAGCGCCACGTCGGTCGCGTCGGGCACCGCCGAGGGGGACGAGGCCAGCGCTTCGGCGTCGGCGGTCGCGGTCAGCGGGCCCGGCGGCCCGCGGGGGCGCGCCTCTGGCTTCGGCAGCGCCGAGAGCGGCGGCGCCACGGCGGAGGCCAACGGCACGGCGGAGGCCTTCGCGCCGGCGCCCGCGCCGGAGGAGTACGTTGGAGGCGGCAAATAGGTGGGTGGGCGCGCGAGAACTGGCGGCGGTTTTGGAGTTCTGCGGGCGGTGACTGAATCCGCTTGTGCGCCGTTGAACGATGACAGAACATGTTTGCGGCGCGTCCAATGGTGGCTGAATGTGTTTGCATGGCTTCGAACGGCGGCTGGACGTGTCTACACGGCGCCGCACGGGCATTCGGATTTGCGTGTAAGCCGTTGGACGGTGACTGAATTTGTTATCGTTGAGCGAAACGTTGACGAGTCTCACGAGTCTTGCGTGCATTGGTCGGTGCCAGCCGTGAATAGCATTGAACATGAGACCGATCGGTTGCCTGAGCCCGAGGCGGTGCAGGCCAGCTGCGAGGAGCCCGTGGGCCTCGTGAAATGGCGGTTGAACACTTGTTTCGACGATTTCACCGCCCCATGCATTGTCCGTGCATACGCCAGCGGTGCCCATATGTCTACATATCCATCCAGGTCGTGCGGCTCCCTGCGTGGAAGGTGCCAAGCAGCGACAACCAAAATAACTGAGCTGACTTTAATTCGTCGGCTGCAGTGAGTGCTGCTGTGAGTGTCCCTAAGTGTGTGAAATGTGTTCGTTAGCAAATCATTGCCTTGAGGATTGTTCGACAGCAAGCATCCATAGCAGCAAAGCATCGTAGAAGTGATGATTGCTATCTTGCACTGGTTTCTGTTTCTGCTGCTGCCAACGCCGTGAGTCCCTCACCATCGGTATCGTTTTCCAAATGTCGAGGCGAACGGTATTTCGACATCAATTTAACATTCAAACCCCGTGTTGTTGGCTGTGTAGCTGCAAAGTCCCGGCAAGATATCCACGCAGATGATAGATTATCTTTGTTCTTGTTCAAAATTTGGCTGACTCTGGACCCTTGGCTGTAGCCCTGCATTCAGCCGGACTGCTTTCCCTGCACATGTCAGACGGTGACGTGAGCTGTTTGCTCCAGGCTGTCTGTTCATCTCCACCATCCATAACGGCCTGTGTTCGCGTTTCCAGGTGCCTCGCGAGCGCCATCTCACACCTGGTAGTAGTTAGGCCAGCGAGGGAGAGAACCGCACCGCCAGTAGATGCCGAGTTCCGCGATCCAAAGCGCAGCGGCAGGTCGGGATGGAAGGGAGGACTTCACCGACCAGTGGGGTGTGGACCAAGCCCTCGCGAGGAACGAAGGTTTCGAGAATGCGCTCACGGCTGGATTTCATGCGTTTTCGGGTGGGCCACACAGCGCGGCGCCATCCAGAGATTAGATACACGTCGCTGGCACGGACATTCAGACAAGTTGCGGGGCTGGGAAATAATGGAAGCGTAGGGCGGTCTGCTTTATGTAACTAATTATTTTGAGCTCGAGGATGTTGGCCCCAGAACTTGTGCTTTGGGGAGATCCGACGTCAGTTGTAACCCAGACCTTGCATTTCTCATTGAGACTGCCGGTTCTCTCGTGTCTGTGTCGCTTGGAAGCCTGCCGCCCGCTCAAAAGATGGGAAGATGGGGCGATTGATCGCCGCACTGCTCTCCCGGCGTCTGCCAGTTGTCAATGGCGGTGTCGGACTTCACAGTCCGCCATTCCGCACGCCTTGCGCGGCACTCTGTTAGTGGGGATTTAAACAGGTTTGCTGCTTGTGACGCTATGGCCATACCTGCCAAGCTGCAGTTAGGGAACGCACTGCGTCGGTTTTGTTACATTTGGTGTCAAATTCACGCCAGGGTAGGGGGTACCTGCGAACCCTGGAAATCGTGCAGTTGCCACAAAATCGATGTGAACTAACAAGTTGCCAAAACCGCCCTGGATCAGCTGCAATTGGTTATTGCAGATTCAAAACCTTCTCTTACGTGTTCAATTATCAAGAAGGCCCCACAAAAGTTTCGATTGACAGCCTCCATAGCCTTCAACACTCAATCGATCCCACGCTGGCTCTTCGACGCCGTGAGCTACTAAACTGAAGAGTACCAAAATCGATATGCGGTCCCTCGTGCATTGTCGAAGAACCAGGGCCCCGTGGGCGAGGACGGCCACTGCGGCACCACCAATTGGACAATTTCCCGCCCAAGGGAAAACCGTCCTATTGCTGTCCTGTTCTCATGCACAAGTCTGCCAGTCAGCCACATATCTGTTATTCGAACGCAAACAGCACACCAGCCAGCACAGAGTCTCGGCCACAGCCTGAGGGACTCTCGCCCGCACGAAGATGCAAGATCCCGACCTGTCAACAGATTTATGATTGCGTTACTATATTACTTTACTTGCCAGGAATTTCCCGCCCCCTTTTAACTGTGCAACAGCGTTAGCACCACGCACTCGATGCATCTTTGCATTTATGCAAAGGACGGCGGTCCACTCTGGCGGTCATACCCGGAGATAGCGCAGTCTAATCACCCCTGAACGAGCAGCTGAGCCACGTCGACAGCCTCAGCACCACGCCGGTTGAGGGTGCACTCAACGAACAAGCTTTGCCCCTCGCGCGAACCGGCTCTTCACGAAGAACTGCTTGTCGCGGCGATGACAATGAACAAAAATAGCAGTGACGGGAAGAGAAGCTTCTGACGAACGGCAAATATCCAACTGAACGCCAAGCGTGGAACCTCTCACAACTGGCCTCCAGAGGGCCACAACCGGTCGCAGCCACTCCCAAAGTTCAGCGAGGTCAGGGCACAGGTCAGCCCCACGCGTCGGGGCAGCCTTGTCCACAGCGTAGCGACACAATACACGAAAGATGCTTCTTTCCGCCTCAACGAAGCTGTGCAGCGACCAGGGGTGGTCACTGTTGGCCAGCAGCACGACCGCCCTGGCAGTGCTGGTCCTCAACGGTAAGGAAAGCGGGTCAGAAAAGGCAGACTGGCGGCGACCTTCGAAAAGGTCGAGCGCTATTGCGCTCAAGCCGTGGCGAACGGCCACGGGGACACGGCCAGGGGACTTAGGCAGCCAGGCTGAGTGCCTAGACCGCCGCGATAGGCACACACAAACGCCGCACAACCGTTCTTACAGCTGCTGGGCCGAGTGCAACAATACAGAGATCCTTTTGCGTTCGCCACGCTCCCAGTACTTGTAACCCCCCAAGCTCTAGCAAATACCCTCCATTCCTAAGAGATGCTCTTTTGGTACTCGGAATCTTTCTGCCACACCCGCCGTTTCACCGCAGCTCAACCCGGTATGCCCCACTGCCCGCACTCAGCCACCACATAATGCCCCAAGGGCCACGCTCCCATCAAACAGCCACACTTCCCGCGGTCAGCAACCACGTAGTGCCCCACGGGGCATATTCCTATCAAAATCCCACGTGGCGCCTCCACGCGCCCCTCCTGGCTCCGTCTTGCCATGATCCACGGCAGACCGCCAGGCGGACAGCCTCTAAGCAAACGCACGCGTCCAGTAGCAACCTGGGTGCTCCTCAATATTCCAAGGCGTTTTCGGGGCGTGTCTGACTCATGTGTCTACGTGTGATGCGCTACCACGTATTGGCGTTGTGCTCAACATTTTTATAGTACCTCAGTGAACTCTTTGGGCGTACGATGCAGTTGCCACCATCTATCTTTGTCATCAAAGTCATCTCCCTGCATTCTGAGTGCCTTGAGCTCGCAATTTGATGACGATCAGCGTGGCGAAGGTGCTGAGGCTGTCTACATCCCCTCTGCACCATTTCCACCTGGCCGGTCTCCTGAACCCTCCCGGTCATGTTTCCCACACGACAACACATTACAACAAAGGTGTCCATCACCATTAAACTCCACATACCCGAGGTCCCCGTACTTAGCAGTTTGCCCTTTCGCTTCGCCCATACTTCACTTCACTTTTCTCCCGTGACTGGACCCTGAGTCAGCCCCCTTTCCCGTACTGCCGTCCACACCTTCCCTAGATCTCCCACAACTCAACCGAACTCCACTCTCTAGGGCGGGAGGGCTGGGTGCGAAACAAGATAGGAGGGGGACCGAGGGGGGAGTCTAAATAGCCGCCCCCGCTCAGCCCCGCCAAACCCGCCAAGTCCAAGGGCACCAAACTGACGGCACCTTGGAAACTACGTACTTTGCCTGACCCAGGGTACTAGGAAGGGCCAGAAACCCGTTTGAATACAACTGCGACCGATTCGAATCTCGGCGCAGCCCACCCAACGTCGTCCTGGGTGGAAATACATTAACAGGATAGTCAAATGCATATCTAGACCTCACGGGTCGCCAGCTGGGTGATGTCATTAATTTACCAACTTTTTGATGAGTCCCATTAATTGGCGACCCGAACATTACCCAATCAGAGACCAGTATGAATGCACCTTTGCATTACCCAATCAGAGACCTGGTCTCCGACATACTGGTCCAGTATGAACGCGTTCAATACTCCCAGGACTTTGCTTAAAATGCGTCACGTCAGTGGGCGACGCCGCCAGTTTCCAGACAGGGTAGGCGTGCCTGGGGCCGCCTCCGACCTGTTGCAATGGGTGGGCGGGAACCCTCCTTTTTCAAAGCGGATACTGGCGGCCAGTGTTGCGGCTATCAGTTGGGGGGCCGCCCATCGTGGCCTGTCCAATGCGGGTTTCGAGTGGAGGGGCCTGCGCCACTCGGGTGCATGAACTTGCAGACCGTTTTGGGTGGTGTGTGGACATCGCGACCCCGTCAGGAATGCTCCCTTTTCTTTTCGGCTCGGAACGACGAGTGGCAGTGCCGCGTTGCCATTAACTGGGCATTGTCCGGAACGGGACATTTTCTGTTTATCTTGTCGGATTGAGTGTCCTAAGTGGCATCCTACGTGGATACGCCCTGTGCATTTCTACTCTTCGGACGCACGCAACACAAGAGGGAGCAATGGCATGTGAGCAACGCCAACTTGTCCAGTCCAATGCGCAATGGGTCAGGTTGAGAATGTTCAATTGTCTCTTGCCAGCACATGGAGACTGCCACAGTGGCCCCTCACCGACCCTTGACGTTTGGCCAGGACAGCGAGCGTACATTTACAGCAAGCATGCTACAGAAGAAAACTGCGTAATCATGTAAGGAAAAGCATCTGCAGCATTGTCCGAACCTCACGGCATGCCCTTGGCACGACTACCATCGCTTTTGCAGGTGCAAGGGCGAGGCTTTGCCACGGTTTCAACAAGCGCAGTCAAAGGATCAACTCACTCCAAACCGCCACAGGATGAACCACGCCACTGCTGAAGATCCAGCTTCTCCACTGGTTAGCAATGCCCAATCAATGCAGCCACAACGAACGATGTGATATCGCAAAACGCGTTCTGCGTTGCTGACAAGAGAGTGCCAGCAATGTAGCATGGGCAAACATGCATTGACGTGCTTGGAATGTGAAGCCCCTACCATGGTGCCTCATCTCCGGCCCTTCAACAGCTCTTGAAGCAGCCTCTTTGGCCCTTGCGATCCTGGCCTGTCCACGTTCCCATACACCAACTGCTCGTCGCCCCGTTCCCCACTCTGGCCCGACCTCGTCGCATCTGAATCTTCTCCTTTTTCGACATCTTGCGGCGGTGAAGCCAAGGGTCTGGGATCGGGTTGTTGGACATTTTCGGACAGCCAAGTCACCAACGTACCAGGCTTGCCGGGGAGGTCTGATGCATGGCCCTCGACATTGCTCCAAAGATCGGATTCTTTGCCAACTTCGCCAGAGCCCGGTCCGTCGGAATGAACAGTCGCATCTGTTGACGACCCTACTTGACTGGCCACATCCCCATCACCTGCTGTGGACGGCCCCAGAGATTGTGCATGCCTTTCACGTGCTTTTGAACATTCATTCCCAACATCCACAGAATCCGAACTCCCAGCTGAAGCAGCTGCTGGAGTTGTTGCCAAGTCACGGTCCCGGTCCCGCAGCTGCACAGCTCCATCGGACTCTACCTGTTCCTCCACAGCCTCACCACTGTTGGGGGGCACTTTCCCCCCCGCAGCACTGTGATGCCCTTCCGGTTCACCTGACACCACACCTGGCATCATCACTTCCTCATCAAGCCTTCTGTCCGTCAGGTTGGCTGGGAGAGACCTCCCACTCTGCCCGTGCTGTTCACTAGAGGTATCTCCCTGGTTGGATGCCGAGCCGACATCAGAGATAGTCATTTCACTACTGGACGTGGAAGCACCAAGCAGAGCATCTCCCTCTTGGCCACCCTCGACTGTCCAACTTGGTACGAATTCCTGGTATTCCCTGTAGCTGCTGCCTTGCTCGTCGTCGTCCCTTCGCCACAAGACTCCATCAGCTGCCACACTGCCAGCATCACCGCCATTTGAGTCCCCAGTCTGCCAGAATTGCTGACTTGACATTGCCGGGGCATCACTTCTGGGGGATGCAGCAGGACTCGATGAGTAAGCGGCCTCTGAGCCCGCCGATGGCTGGCCATCCTGACAGCGTGGATTGGAGCTTGTACTGCGGTCCACTCCATCCCGTCGACCTCCATCATCACCGAGTGAAATCAGGCCTACGACCCGCACGCACAGGGGATAAAATACCAGCAGGGCAATGAGGGACAGAGCAAGAGAAAAGGAATACGAAGGTGCAGACAGAGCTACTCGAACATGATGCAGTAGATGAAACGGAAAGCATTGCAGCCCAACCACCTCCAACATGAAGGGATACTGCTTGTGTAGACAACATCCACTCGCCACACAGGTGTGCGGCAGGCTCACTCACCTCCCACAATTGGTAGCTTCCTGGCAGCGTTCATTGCAGAGTTCACCATCGCCATGAACATCTGAGGCGCCCAAAGAAGGAATGCTACTGCAGCACCCCCAGCCAGTGCGACCTTGCTAGCAGCTGCCACCCTCCTGGCATCAACATCATCAGGGAGCAGCTCAGACAGCAGCCCAACAGCAGAGTCTTCAAGCCCAGTTCGCTCTTCATCATCTTGGTTGGATGACAGCAGTGAGTTCAGCCGATCGGCCACTGCCTGCGATGCCCACCTCTGCAGATCAGCAGCCAGGTCTGTTGCCTGTCCATCAGGTGGCAAGCCCGTGTCATCCAGGCTGAGCGGATTCACTCCAGGGCCGCTCTTGCTACCTATCGCTGTGCCAAAAGAGGGCGCCTCTTCCATGTCTACCCCAAACTTTTCAGACTGCGATTCTTGCCTGGCTGCCGGAGGCCTCGCACCTCCCACCCCCCCTGCTTCCTCAGGGTCAGATGTCCATGGCTCGTCCCACCACGCATCTGGCGCAGCTCGCTCAGCTTGAAGATCGCTCACTGGCTGCCTTCCAGGCAGGTAGCTATCCGATTGGCTGGTGCCAGGGGCCTGGAATCTCTGCACCCCAGGCCGCTTGGCCTCGTCTTCATTCTCGCCTGTGTCATTTTCGCTTCCTGGTGTAGTTGGGCTCATCGCCATCGCTGAGCCAGGCATGGGTCGCAATTGTGCATCCTTTTCAGATGGCAATGGCCCTGGGGCCGATGCCTCCTCAGGAGCTTCGCCACTGCCTGCTGACCCACTTTTTGAGGCACCGCCATGGATCAAGTCCTCCAGAACGCCAAGAAGTTGTTGATCAGACATCTTCTGAACCCTGCACCACATAGTCATGTTCAGCGATGCAAATCTGTCAACAAACTGTGTATGACGTCATCTTTCAACTAAGAAGACTTGAGCGTTCCTTTGGTACTTTGCAGCCAAGCACATGCAGCTGTCTTGGCAGCAACTGTGCTGCATTGCAAGACATTCAGTACTGAATTTGTTATGAAGGATCACCAGAAAAAGCGATGCTGGGGGCATGTGCACCCAGAAACGTGCAAGGATTCTGTGGCAAGCATTCTGTGCACCTGACAAATCTTGACCCCCGCTCATGCAAGAAGCACTGTGCGGCCATGGACCATTCAGCATAAACTCGTGGCTTACAGGCTAACAACGAATATCAGCTGCCAGCATTTGCTGGAGTTTCAAGTGGCTGTGTCTTAACAGGTCATACTTTCTAGTAGTAGGTTCCATTTGCAACACATTGGTCATGTTGGCATCGTCCTGTACATTCACCAAAATGGCGGTGTTCGACTACACATTGCCTCAACTAAATTTCCAGAAGTTCATATTTCACAACCCCCAGTGTAGCCACAAACTGCATTCACTTTTCTGGTCGTCAATGCCCAACACTAAATGCGTGCAGATAAAGCTGCCCCGAGCTTGGGCGTGCAAAGCATGATATCTGCAGCAGCCTCCTGTCGAATTTCCACATCAACTGCACGTGGTTGGCTTTGCAGATTGTGCGGACGGCAACCAAAACGGCGATGTGAAAATGATAAAAAGCGACTGCCTTCCACAAGGGGAATCTTGAGATTTTTGGTACCTGTCTGAAACTTCTCCCACAACCATGGTCTCAAGCTGTTTTCGCTCAATGGCAATCACATGCCCTTGTCCATCAGCCCTGGCAATGCACAATGGGCGCACGATCGATTTCAGCCACTTCTGAATATCAGCTCATTCAATTCATTTCTCACTTGCTTTGTCAATATGGAAAACAGGCAAACCATTGGCACTTCCATCTTCTGCAAGATGTTGTCAGACTTTTCATCTGCAGATGTCTCCCTGAACAAGTGAAATAGCAGGCATGGCGGAGCAGCAAGCACAGGAACACATAAGTGTCAGGGATGTTTAAAGTGCACCGTTCATTGTCTGCTTTCAGAAACACCTTTTCAGCTGTGCTTGTGAAAGGGCCCCTGCTGAATAGATGGGGAAGCCTTGACACAGCCTTGACTTCAAATGCAATGTTACAACACTGATTGGCCCATCACCTGCCCGACCATAAGGGTTCAACTTGCAGTGCCATTGCTGACTGTACTAGAGCTGGGAACATCTAGCTTGCTGTGATATGAGCTGCAACCACAGGCTCTTAAACAATTCGGTTTTCACATTTAGGTCACAAATAAGGAGCATACAACCTTCAGCAGATGACAGTGGATGAGTTGGATGCCCACTTCCAATGCCCTCATTCTCAACCCTGGTCTGTCTCCACAAATGTTGCATTCGCATAAAGTACACAAATCCCCTTGATCCAGGCCGTGCGTGGGGTGGGGGCGGGACCCATGCAGTGTTCCAGAAACGTCAAAGCGAGTTCGCCAGTGGCCTTGGTGACTGAATGGTCCCAGCTCCACTTGGATCCATTGGCTGAGCACAGAGTCAGGCTCGGCTATGCCAGGACTGAGAACGCCAAAAGACTGTCGCCGCCACACTGCCCACGCCCAGAAAAACTACGTCTCCCACGAACGCCAACCCCTGCCAGCCCTTCATCTTCCTGACGACAGACACCCCGCCCTCCACTCATTCGATCCATCCACTGACGGGTTGCCTGGACAAAAGATGCCGGGACTGCCGAGAGACCGGCGGCAAACACCCATCAACGAATACAAGCCCCCGGCAGCGCGTTTTCGGGCCCTATTGTGCACTGAATGCCAATCAGCTGAATCACCACTTCATCCAACAGACATCCATTTCAGAAAAATGCATCAACACCAATCAACTGACCACAGCAACCAACAGCAACAGCTGCACGACTGCACCCACTAATTGGGCCCCCCAGTAGACCACGTGGCCTGCAGCATCTCAACCATCACCCACCTGGCCTCCTCCACCGCGGCGGCCACGGCTCCCGGGGAGCACGCGGCATGAGCAAAGATCGCCGCGCACACCGCCCCCACCACGGACCCGATCCCCCTCTGCGCCTCGCCCCCCGACTCCGATCGCCCAGCGGCCGCGACGCTGGCCCGGCGGCATGGCAGGTCAGCGGATCCGCCTCGCGATCCGCTCCGGGGCCGGCCGGGAGGGAATGCGTTGCGGCGGGACAGGGCGCCGACGGCCGGGCGGGGCATGCTGGAGGGGCACCGCAGTTCGGCTAAGGGCGCGGGCATCGCGGCCCTTGGCGGCAGCGTCGGGGTGCCTTGCGGCTTCTTGGAGTGGCCTTAACTGGGAGCTGGGCTTGTGATCACTGAAGCAGGCATTCATTCGATCGGCGGGCTGTTGAGTAGGCAGCGTGCTCTATGTACTTTCCTACAGTACCTATATGCCCTATGTACCGAAGTGCATGCCCTATATATGTCGGCAGACATGTACGTCTTTTCCGTCGAGTGACACGCTGCCAAGCCTCCGCCAACACCCAGCAGCCGCGGCGCAACCTCCACGCCCGCCTCTCGCCAGCCCGGCGCCAGCGCGCCATGCGGCCGCCCCAGAAAGTGGACTTCGTGCTCACGGACCTGGACGCCGCCCACGCGGCGGCGTCCGCGCTGAAGGCCGGCGACCGCGTCGCGATCGCGCCATCGGATGACGGCCCCGCGTGCACCACGCCGCGCGGCACGTGCCTGGGTCGCGTGCCGGACGGCGCGCTGGACGAGTTCCATCCGGGCATGGCGCTGGAGGCGAGGGTGCAGAGCGTGCGGCGGGCGCAGGGGGGGGCGGGGGTCAGGGAGGTGACCGTGAGGGTGAGGAAGGCCACGGCGGCGGCCGCGAGGCAGGGTGGGTGTCGTCGTTCACTCCGGCTGACGCATTCGCTCTCGTTCATTCTAATCGGTCGCTTTGATGGTGAATGAGTGCTTGAACATCCTTACAGGCAACCTGAAAATTCGACGCACTGGTCGTGTCATGTGTCTCTGCTGAAATTCAGATAGTCAAAACAGCCTCCCCATGCCAGCGGTCCGCGATGACCTCACAGTAATTGGTTCATTTTCATAGTCAGCACCAACGCTGTCGTCAAAGAGCACTCACAGGTCCTTTATTCAATGCTATGTGTGGAATATGGGATTAATCGTAATGTACGAATTAATGCGATTGTGATGGTGCCCCATTGTAGGGCAACTTCGTGGCACTGTGCATGCTATGCCCTCATGGCCACAGTTACCGTGCGTCCCTTTGCTGTGGCACTGAGGTTTTGCTTGAATTTGCTGGACTTAAAATGAATTGTTTTGATTTTCTTATCGGCAGTTGAAGCTGTGGAGGAGCCTGAAGATGAAGACAACTGGAGGGTAAAGCAGCAGCAGTTCGAGCTGCTGGGTGAGTGCTTCTCTCCCCTGTTGTAGTCCTTGTTGAATACTGTTGTGGCGGACCATTGTGCGCCTGTCTCGTGGGCCCAATGTGCTTCCGGGGCGAAGGGAACATTGTGTACAATGTGTGGCAGTGGAAAATGCCGGACAAGTGCACAGTGTAGGGTGAGTAAAGCCCTTCCAATTCCCCTTTTTGTCGTCTCCTTTTCTTGACAGTAATCCCACGTTGTCCTAAACAAGAGAGGGCTACCAGTTTTCTGTGTTGGCACAATTGCCTATGCCACAATGAGCCCCACAGCTGACTGTCCTGGGGTGTGTTGGGTCCTGGCCCATCTTCTTGTAACATATCAGCGTCTTGTAAAATATCAGTTTCCTGAGATTGTGTGTCCGAAAACCCAAGGAATGGAAAGAGAGAAAAGAAAAGCCAAGAGGAAATTAAAAGGAACAGGGAAAGAAGGAGTGAATGAATGCAAGCTCAAGATCAACACACAAAATGACACACTGGTCGTTTGGTGTGTGTCCACTGAACTCAGGTCGTCAGAGGGCATCTTGTCCCTAGAGACCTGCAATGGCCTCAAATGATGGGCAAGGCCAAAAAGATGCAGAGATAATCAAAGGAAAGGGGCAAATACTTCCAACACTCGTTGTGGATGAAATTGTGATCTTGGGTCAAGGGCGGTGCTTTGTCACTTCTCAGCAAAAGGACTCAACCATCAGTTCAGTTCCCTGGCTACTTGGCCACCGTTTGCTTGCGAATACCACAAGTCACAGTCAATGCTCTGACTGGCTTGAGTGGGACCTGTCTGGTGGACTGGGCCGTGACTGGGGTTTAGGGTGCAGGCAAAAGGCAGCCAGGACCCTGACTGTGAATTACATTCTTGACACATACATATACTCACATAGCATCAGGAGGAAGCATAAGGCTTCTGTGCACGAGCTGGCATTAAGGAACATGGCTGCAAAATGTGCCTACCATGAACTGGTACTGCACAGTCATGTCTGAGGTACCGCAAGGCCATGTTGTGAATCCTGACATCAGACTCGAACCGGGCATTACAGGTGGGCATTAATTTGCAGCCAGGAGTGCTTTCATGGGACCATATCGCGGCACATTCGTAGTTCTGCAGCTAGACGTATTCTGAGCAATGACAACAGCAACAAGGGATGTTATCTTGGAACTAAGACAGCAGATCCTACCTGTATCTCGTGTGCTGTGAATGCATGCGATATCCATCCCTTTGAGCTGGCATTCCCTGCATTCCATGCAAATCAAACTCAGGAGGGCACCCTTTGTTCGCACTTTGGTCGCCCCATCAAATGGAAAAGAATGGTACAAGGGCATCTGCACCTCATCAATGAGAGTGGTTTGGGGCTGATACTTTGTGTCAGCCCCCAAACCCAAAGATCCCCGTGAACCAGAGTGATCCTGACTGCATCCCCAGTGAGGATCCAATTTGTGTTGGTTCACGTTCCTCCGTCTGCAGTTGCTGTGCTCATGTGCTTGTGTGTTTTGTCCTCAGTTGGCTCGGAGTCGTTGAGGCTGATGTTGAAGGATGAGCGGCTCCAAAATGCCATCCGTCTTGTGGACACGGCGCCTGAAAGGGAACAGGTGAATAGCTGTTTCACAACTGCGCCCTGCTGAATTGTGGGGCTTTTGGTTTGATGTTTCGGCATCTTTTCTGTGTTGTCCTCCTGCATTCCAGTTGCATGCATCGAGCAGGTATGGAAACCATGTTTTACATGATTGTGTTGCATTGAATTGTGTTTTCGTTCTTGTACTAGCTATGGGGGCACAGGGATTCAGCAGTGATTGAGGCAGGGAGTTTTGATGATTCCACATCTTGCAACGGAGGCGACATTTGCATCTGCTTGAAAGGCTGGCTGCTGTCTGGCCCAGTTGAATGCTGGCTTAGTCGGTCTGTGTGTTTGCTACGGAATATCAGCATGAGCAGAATCGGGCATCCAAAATTAGGTAGAGTGAATTAAGCTAAGCGAAACCATGTAAATTGAAGTTGCCAACTTGGAGACAACAGAACATATCATTTCAGGTGAATATGTTGCGAGTTCCATCCTTTAGGATTACCGAACTTGCAATTTTAACACAACACTTCAAGCAAGTGAGCCTTGCACTTTGCACGTATGTGTTCCTTGCAATTGATAATGTACTTCACTGCAAGCAATCTTTTGCCACAGGCTCTCGATGCCGCCATGACAGACCCGGCCTTCAGGGAGTTCACAGACAAGTTGCTGGATGCCATTCACCCTGGCTGCCCCAGCAAGGGTAGCTGACGGGGCGTCACTCTGTGGCCACAGTACAGAAGAAGGCAGAGCACTGGCTTTGGTCCCGCAAGGCGCCGACGGGCTGTTGTCACAGCTCCAGGGTATGTTGTTTCGAGTTTGCAGATCTCGAACTCTGGGAAGCTCAGAGGTGGAAGATGAGGAGGGCGTGGGGTGGCTGGAGGGAAATACTGCCACAACTGCATTGCAGAAACAGGCATTATCACCGTGTTTGTACCTACAAGTCGATGGTGTGTCTTTCACTTCAGCAACGGTATTGTCTGCAGATTCTGTACATCTTCCGGGCCACAGAGCGGTGAAGAGGAGGTCGATCAGTGGCCTGGGTCGCTTAAGGGCTCTGGGATGGACACAGTTCAACCACGACAAAGCCGAGTGGGGAACAATGCATGGAACAAAGGCCAGCATGGATGTGTATGCAGCTGTGCCACTTGCATTGGGACGGAAAAGCACCAGCTGGCTGGGAGGCAACGTTGGCCTTCGGTTGGTCAAGTCCACCCTCCAAACCCATACTTGGGTCAGGAGCTTAGGAAATGCTTAGAAGAGAAGACTGGCTGGGAGCAGTTGTGCAACTATGGTAGGTGATTGGAATTCATTGGATTTCGGAGGAGGAGGAACTCCTGTCGCTGACAACAGGAATCTGTCAATGCATGGGGCAGCGGCTCTGCACCTATTATCGCATGTGAAGGACCACATGAAAGACAGATCGCTGGTTGCCTGGCATTCCCCATGACACGTGGTGGCACGCTGGGTAATGTCTAGGACGTCCCTGAAACAGCACCGGCGACATCGACAGCGCGTTGCATCCACCGACCTTGCTTCGCAGCCCACGACCCACAAAGTCCTATAGAAAAGCCTGGCGTCCACTGCATGTAGAGCCGGGCAACAGAATGGCGTTGGGTTTGTTCGCATCTGCCAGATTGTGCCGGCGCCTTCCCTTCGCACCAGGAAAGCGGAATTCTAGCGGTTTCTGTTGTGGGGGCCGGGGCTGGTGCGCAGGTGATGGAAGGGATGCGGGAGCCTGTCAGGTGAGGGGAACAGAGCACACTGACTCGATTCGTCGACCTTATAGTCGGTCTGTCGGTCGGTCAGTTTGGAGAGATGCCACGTGCATGGCAGGTGGAGGGTGCTTGTGGCAGACTCCCAGTTTGGTTTCGCTGGAGTCAGACACGGGAGCTGCGAATTGTGTAAGGCGTTTTTGATCCCAAGGCTGGAATGTGGTCAGCAGCTGCAATTGTGCTGTCCATGGGCGATGCAGGGCCCATGTCGGCACTGTCATGAGCATGCGGCGGTGCTCTGATGGGCTGGGGCCTCAGCATGGGAATTGTCCTTGAGGCTCACCAGATTCGTCATTACTGTATATTTAGTTGATGTGCTTGTCCTGTAGCGCATCTGGTTACGGCCTAGCTTCCTGTGCTTGGGAGCGGCCGACTGTGGACTGAGACAAACCCGTCTGATTGACCAAACAATGGAGCTCGTTTCTGGCCAGCCTTAGATGCCTTTTACATGGGTGAAAAGAGGCAGTTCCCGGCACATGTGTATGAGGAAGGTGTTCTATTGATCGATGAATAGTACTTCACTAATTGATGGCGAGTGCGTGATGATTCTGAAAGGCTGAGATAACAGTTGTTTGGCTCATTGATTATAAAAGGGTGCACCCCTATGGGGTGGAATACAAGAACGGTGGGCAAGTGTGCAGATGGCCGTGTACTGTCACATGTTTGAAATCCTTGGGGAAGATATAATGTTGTATCGCCCATATCATTATGTCACCCTCGCTTACCAAATAATTGAGAATGATGTCGACTTGATGACTAATTCGTGCGCTGGTACAATCTGCACCCCAGTGTACCGTTAGAAGCTGTGGGACGCACCAACGGCAGTGCACGTCGCACGGGATGCGTGGCACAGTGGTCTTGTGGTCTGAAAAGCATCTTAACAGTCGAGGCCCCTGTCGCACATGCTGCCCCGGCCGGGCGGAAACCCACAGATGGGCAAGAGCGTTTGGCATGCCCAGGCCGTGCTAGCATCATATCTCAAAGCATCAGATGCAGCAGCCGGGACCCAAAATTGTTTGGAGACAGCAGCTGTGTCCATCACACTCCGGTACCTAGCACCTAGGCTCGGACAAGGTGTAGACACCGAAATTCGTGATACCTGACAAATCTCGAAATTCAACGTCAATCTGGCCATTGTCGGGTGAGGGTCAATGAGAAGAATGCCCTGTTAGCACATCACCGCAGTGTACGCTGGTGCTTTGGATGGTCCGGCCGTTCAAGCCAGCCGTCCGTCTGTTTCAGTCCTCGGTTGTGCCTGGCACGCCGCCCCGCAGGGCCGAGCGGGAGAGCCTCTGCGGACTGTAGTGTGCAAATTCATAGCAGTGCAACCAATTCTACCTGGTCGAACAAGCATTGGCTCGTTGATGGACGATTTCATGGACTGATTGGCTGATTTTCTGGTTGGCACCCAGAAAAATAGGAAGCAGGCGGCAGCTCCCTTGGCTCTTGCAATGCAAAGTTTCATTTCTGCCTTACCGGTCTCCTTCAACCCCCCCCCGTGTTCCCCACACGACAATACATTACACTCACACAGTTTGGTGTCCATCACCTCACTAGTACAAGACCCGATTGGCGACCCACTTAAAATGTGCCCTCGCTTCGCATAGTACTTAATGCCACTCTGATAGTGACTCAACCCAGAGTCAGCTCCCCTTTCCTCGTACTCAACTCCCTCTCCATCCCACAGCTAACCGAACTCACACTATTCGGGTGGGCCGGGCGGGTGCAAAACAAGATAAAGGGGGGCGCCAAGGGTCGCGCCTAAAATAGCCGCTCCCACTTGCCGCCAAACTCCCCGCCAAACCCAAGGGCCAGCTTGACCGGTCCCCTTGGCTGCGCCCAAGGTACAAGGATCAACCCCACCGCCCTTGGGTGCGTCGGGCAGCACTGACCCCGAGTACAGGGGTGACAGAAACCGGCTGATGGATGGCCCAAACTGTCCCAAAGGGCGGAACGGCCCGCCCTGGCCGTTGCGCGCCCACCCAATCGTCGTCCTTAGCAGAAATCCATTAATAGGATAGTTAATTCCATTTCTGCCTTACCGGTCTCCTTCACCCCCCCCCCGTGTTCCCCACACGACAATACATTACACTCACACAGTTTGGTGTCCATCACCTCACTAGTACAAGACCCGATTGGCGACCCACTTAAAATGTGCCCACTCACACTGGGGCACGGTGCAGCTCCTCCGGAGCGAAGGCGTGGTCATGCCTTGGTCACTCTCGGGCCGATGACGCCCCGCCCGGGCAGAAGATGTGCCCGTACTGGGCGTGTAAGTCTCGTGCCGTAATCGTCATCCAGCCAAACAGCCGGAAGTCCCACTCGGACGGTAGCCGGTACACGTCAATAAACTTTCACATAACGTTACTGCGCCACTCGCCCCAGGCGCGGATGCACCCCTCCGGCACCTCCAAGGCGTAGCAGGAGCTCGCGCCCCCCCCCGCGTAGGCCGTGATGATCGAAGGGCTTGGGGGGCGGCGATGGAAGGGCCTGCTGCAGCAGAGGAAACCAGGCGGAGACCGTCCGTGACGAGGGATCCTGCTCCCCCGGGAGCATGTAGAAGTGCCGGGAGGAGCCGCCCGCATCCGCCCAGGCCTTGTCCCGGGCGGCCGACCACCAGAGGAACAGATCGATGACGGCGGGGGTGCCCGACGAGGGCCAGGATCGGCACCGGACGCGAGGGTCCGTTGACGCCGAGAGCTTGGTCCGGCGCTCACAGAAAATCAGCAGGCCATTCTCCAGGCAGATGTCGTCGAGGAGAACCAAATGGCCGCTTTGCGCCCGATTGAAGAAAAGAAAATCGAGCGTCGCCGAGCAGGCCGCGCGAAGGAGCCGTAGGTCTTGAGTCTCCAGGCCAAAGTCCAGGACGGCGCGGAGCAGCTCCGTAGGAACGGGCCGATGCGAATGAGCCGGCTCCAGTTCCTGCCGCCTCCACGCCCGAGTAAGCCTCCGGGTGACGGGGTCGAAGGCGGAGAAGTCCAGGTGACCCATGGCTTGGTGGACCATGGAGATGGCCGCCAAATACTGGGGAAGACTGCGGATCCCCACCCGCCCTTCCTCTCGCAGAAAGCGGATGTAGCGGTAGATTGAGGAAGGCCGCGCGGGTAGGCTGGCCAAGTCGTTTGCCTCGCAAAACTCAGCAAAGCGGGCAAACTTCTGATGCATCGATCGCCGCGTCGACTCGGTATAAAAGGAAAGAAACTGCACCTGCATCCACAACCGATCGGATGCCGACAGGCCGTCCACATCACAACCAAACAACGGGTGATCGTCCGGCATTACCTCCACCGGGAGGGGGTCGGCGACCGGCGATCCTGAGCGGGAAGAAGGCGGTCCGGCCCCGCAGTCGGAACCCGAGTCCGCGGCAGAATGTGGAAGGCTTGGAGGTTCCACCGGGGGGGAGGCAGGCTGGCCGGGATCGAGGGATCGCCCGGCGTGAACATGCCCGGGCGGCGAGGAATCATCATCTCCGCCGACGCCAAGCGCCGAAGTCGAGGGAACCACATGGCCGACGGCCAGTCCGGAGCCAGGACTACCGTCTCCACCTCCGGGTGGTGGCGCAGGAAGGCCGTAAGGCGCGGAAGGACCGACCACGGCGGATTGGCCCAATTGGCCTCCCCTGTCCAGTCTTGGAGGAAGGCATCCACCCCCGAAGAATGGGGCTCGTTGTGGCGCGAATTGAAGGCGGGGCAAAGGGAATTCCGATGGGAAGCGAACCGATCGAAGGTCCGGGCCCCAAACCACCGAGTAATGGCCCTGAAGATGGCCGGATGGAGGCGGTAATCCTCGCCCCCCCGAACCCGTGACAGTTGATCCGGGATGGTATTCTCCTTGGACGGGATATACTCCGGGTCGAGGAGCAATTGGCGAGCCGAACAAATCCGCTGCAGTTGGCGGAGCGGACCTCGGAGCTGGTCGGATCCCGTCGCCATGCTG